CTCTTACATATACCAAAACCCAAAGCTCTGTAGAGCCATTTTCCCACACTTTCCCTCATTTTCCCACCTTCCAAACAGAAGCTAGAAAGATTTCCAATGTCGAGTCAGAACGTGTCACGACAAGATTGGAGAAACTTAGCGCAATCAAACCAACCGTTTAATCCACAAGCAACATGGGATACCAGTGGTAATGAAATACAACTGACCATGCAACTTTCAGGTAAATTTTATCTATGGAATTAACTTGATCGCTTTCTTTGATATTTAAATGATCAAATAATTAATTATGTCTTGTTTGGTTCCATTGATTTCGTTTAGGGTTTTCAAGGGATCATTTACGAATCAATTTGAACACGAGTACAAATACTCTTATAGTTGCGGGACAAAAATCCGATGGCTTCAATGTCACTCGTTTGAATGAACGCATACCAATTAATGAAGATTGCTCATTGGATGGAGTCCGTGCAAAATTTCTCAATAACACTCTTACTGTAATATTTAAAAAAAAGAAAAATTAATCTCTATTTCATCCAAATGATCATGATTTACCTGAATAATAAAGTTTCAACTTTTATATATCTGCACCAAAGTCAGCGTGTAGAGAATTTGTATTTAGAATTGTAATCAGATCATGCGTACAAGTTGACAATGTTATTGTATACATTGTACTGTATTGACTTGTATGTATCTCGAAATGAAGAACAATATCGTTTGTTATGTAAAATAAAAACATTTGTGAGAAAGCACTTCAAAAAAAAAAAGGTGTGCCATTCCTTCATTTATTAACAAATAAAAATTGAATTATGCTTTAATTTTAAGAAGTTGAATTATGTTGATGTTCGACCATAGTGTCCAAAATTTGTAAAAGAGATCCTTATTGAAGGATATCACGTTTTAATGGGAAAAATTATTTTATACTACTATATCTAGTTTAATTATTTTTTTTTAAAGTTAACTAATATCTATCTATCTTAAATTATTAGTTTAATAACTTTTAATTTCGTGTTTAATAAGTCTCTGGCCTATTCGACATTCTTTAAAATTTACAAATCTAATCATATGTAAAATACGACTTTATTCTTTTAATTTTATATCTAATAAAATTATGTATATCTAGAAGTGTTAATAGTCAAGTATATATTACACAAAATTGAATGTTTAGAGAGTTGGACACTTTATGAACCTATTAGATTACAACTAATTTAATGATAATTTTGTTTGCTTATTAACAAATTTCATATCCTTTCTTAAATTTTTAAAAAAATCATATTCAATTGATTTAAGGATAATTTAGCTTACATGAACTTAGCTCAGCATAATTAGTACTTGTCTGTGACCAAAAGGTAATGAGTTCGAATCTCCCTACCTCCACTTGTTGTACTAAAAAATAGTTATTATTATTATAAATCACCGTGCTTTTGTAAAAGTAGAAAATCGCTTTCGAAACTTTTTTAAACAAACAAAAATACAGTAAGTCATCTATTTGAACCTCATTCTCCATCCAAGGTCAAAATTATCCCAAACGAATAAAATGAGCAATATGTATTATCTAATGAAGCTCCACTTTAAAACAATAAATATTAACATGCAATGAACTTAGATATATATCTTCGATCCAAAGATGGTTCAAATCCTCGCTTTTATCTTTTGAACTAAAATTAATTAAGGAAACATAACTTCTATTTCATTATTATATATAAGTTGAGAACATAGATTAAATTATAGAAAAAATTTATGAATAATTTACATTTTTTTTAGTACAACACGTGGGATGGTGATCAAACTCACAAACTGTTGGTTTGAGAATATATGCCAATTACCGTTGAGCTATGTTGGCTTTGATGAATTGTTTGCATTTACTTTTCAAAAATTTGCACATTATATATAAATTGGTTTAAATATTAGTTGAATTACTTTCGGCTTTAATTTATTTTTGTCTCGAAATTTTTAACGAAAATTTTTGTTGGTAGATAAAAAGGAAAAAAGCATAATACTTGGAACAACTTGCAGTTGACACTATCAAACCAAATATTCTTAACTTCTTTTGAAGAAAAGAAACATGACCAACTTCTTAGAATCTTTCCATTGATAATTTGCAAAGTTTTAGAGAGATGGAGAACATAGCCAAATCAATAACATTTAATAAATATGTTATTCAAACAAAGTTATACCGAATTCTAATGTTGACGTTTAGTTTAAAGAAGTGGAATGAAAATCAAATCGAAATAAATAAATAAATATAGTTGAATTGATTAAGGTATATATCATGAATTTTAAAGTAAAAATAAATTAGTCAGTTTTATGATCGTTAATTTGGTGTGGTCGAACTTGTTGGTTCGGTTCAATCCAACTCATGAACACCCGACCCTATCAAATAACGGCAACGAGAGGAAGAAAAATTGAATCTTTACCATCGAAGTAAATATAAAATAAATTCCTTTCCACATGTAAGGATAAAGAAAACCCAAAAAAATTGAAGACCAAACAGAGAAAAAAGGAATAGACTTGCCCACAAGAAAATGAAAGCCAAGAACACCCACAATTGCATAAATAAAGTAGTTATAAAATAAAAATCAAAGTGCTGTCTTTTGTTCATTCAACCAAGAAACTAAAAGCACAGCTCAGAAGAACAATGGATTGGTTTGGAAAAGGTTCAAAAGTAGAAGATCAACCAGCCAAAAGTGACATGGAAAGTCTTGGCATAAGATTCGAACCCATCTTATTCTATTCCGAACGTAATGAATACGAGTTGCGCATCGAGCTTCCAGGTTCTAGTATATGTTTCTCGTCTCGAATTTAAAACTCATTTTCTTAGGCTCCGTTTGGTAATTTTTTTATTTCTCGTTTTTTTTTTCAACAAGGAGAAACAAAATTGTATTTCGTAATTATTTCTTTGCTTGGAGAAATAAAATTGTGTTTCTTAATTTTTTTGTTCATTTTTTATTATTAAAAAAAAAAAGACGAAAACATGTATCGTAATTATTTTTTTATCTATAGTTCTAAATAAAAATTTTATTTAAAATTGAAATTTCAATTTTTTACATTACATTCATTCTTTTATATTTATTGTGCGTTTTATAAGTAAAAATAACAAAATAATACTTTTACCTTTGTTTTAGAAAAAAAAAATTAGAAACAAGAAAAAAAAACTTGATTTTGCTGAAAATTTAAAATGAGAACATTATTAAATAAATTCTCAATTACTTCGTATATTCCAAGGATATATTATATTATCATAACTTATAAGAATCTATATTACATTTTTACCAAAATAACATATTTTATATATTTTTCAACATGATAGTTGAAAATTGAAATGTTAATTACCATAGATGTAATATTTATATTTATGGTTTGAATGTACGTTGTGTGACAAAATACTAATGGCTAAAGATCATGTTAAATTTCTTTTTTTAAACACTGTATTTGATAACTATTTTGTTTATTTTTTTTCTAATTATGCGTGTTGGTATATAATTTCATCAATAATTATTTCAACGACCCTTCAAAACATTTTTTTTAGATTAAAAAAAGATAAAAATTTTGGGAAAGTAATGTATTATTTTTTTATTTATTAAATTTATATGCAGGTTGCCCAAAGGATCTGATAAAGGTAACGTACGACCGGTCATTGGGAAAGCTTAAGCTGCAGGGGCAGAAGCACAAAACAAATTTCCACCATCAATTTACGCTTCCCGCCGACTGCTTGCCCACCGGAATCTATGGCAGATTCCGGGGCGATGTTCTTCACATTGTCATCCCCAGATTGCTGTCTGATTGGCCAGCTTCTAAAGATGCCTCTTCGAAGCAAGAAGACGATCATCGAGAGACTTCTTCTGATCAGACAACGACGGATCACGAGGCAGAGGAAAGAGCAGGAAAATGCCACCAAAAATTGCCTCCTACTACTCCGGCGCCACGGCCGCCTGGTCAGAAATCGACCGATGAAGTTAGGGAACGAGAAGGAAAAGATCGCGATAAATTACCGGCTAGGGTTCCGGCGCCACTGCCGTCTGATCAGAAAACGACGGACGACGTAAGGGAACGAGTAGAAACTGAGAGAAAATTACCGTCGAAGGTTTCAGCGCCTCCGACGGAGAAATCGAAGGGAAGAGACGAAGAATTATACCCCGAAATCTCCGCACCGCCACCGCCCGATCGTGAATCGAGCCGCTCAGTAAAGGAACTCAGAGAAAAATACCAAAAGAAACTCTCTGAGATTGCCGCACCACCACCGGTGCCTCCTGCTGCGGCTCCGGCACCGGCAACATCCAATCGGAAAAAATCGACTGATGTCGGAGCAAGAGAAGAATCGGAAGAGCCACCATCTACGGTGGTTCCCGCATCGCCATTGTCAAAATCAGGCACAAAAGTTTCTGAGAACACTAAAATCTTCGCTGAATCGAAGGCTAACGAAACTGAAGAGAAAAAACGAAATGCTGGCGGTGATGAAAAATTAGGGCTCGTTTATACCGTTAAAAAAACCGGCAAGGCGGCGGTGGCGGCGGCGGCGGCGTCGTGGAAGGACGAAAACCGGCGAGTGGTGATGATTGGGGCTGCCGTTTTGGCCATCGTGGTAATTGGAGCTGCTTCCTTGAGGTCCTCCAATAAAAAGTTAAAGAACTAATTAATTAACTCATAACAATGCGCCCTGTATAAATTTACTTTAATTTATGTATATTTTATTTTATATTCAAATAAAGTTGTTGTTGACAAAATATTTCTTTATTTTAATACTTGAATTATGTTATATATATATATATATATTACCTAAGGGTGTGGGTAGTAAAAATAATTCATAAATTTCAAAAAATGTCACCAGCTTTTTAAAATTTCAAATATAACAAAATATTTGAATTTTTATTCTTAGAACTTTTATTTTTAGAATTTTTATTATTTCGATTTTACCCTTATGATATATGATATACATTCAATGTATATATGTATTTGATATAAATTTAATGTATATCTGTATCTGATATACATCGAATCCATAGATGTAACTCTGATATACATTGATGTACCCCTGATATACATTATCATATGTACCAATGATATACATTATCAGATGTATGTATTATACCTCTAATATATATATCTGATGTACCTCTAATTTACAATATACTAAACATATTTGCAATTGATATACTAAATATAAGGTATATCAAATGTTTCATTTTTATTGGTATATCAACAGTTTAAATTATAGTTTACCATTGCAATTTGTTGCTTAATATACTAATATTATCAATGATGTTGATTACTATATCACTAATATTTATTTTATATTAATATTAATTAGATACTAAATATAAAAGATATCAACTGTTTAAATTTATAAAGTATGTCAGATTTCTAACTTGTTTTTTTACGTGCATAATCCACATAAACCTTTTATACAATAACTTTATATTAATTTTTTTTCACCATTGTTTTCATATGAAAACAAATTGGATATAATAGTATTATATAAACACACATGTATCATAATTATAGTAGTATATATCATGATTATATCGGAGGTATATAAGTGGTAAATTATAAACATATTAAGTATATATCAAATATATATCAGTGTTATATTAGTGGTAAATCATATATAATAAGTTATGTCAGTAGTATATTATTTGTATATCGATGGTAAATTATAAACATATATTAGTAATTAGATATATTGCAGATATACTATAAGTGTATATCAGATATATTGTAGGATAAAATTGTAATTTTCAAATTTGACATCCATTTTTTTTAAATGCTATATTTGAAAAAAATTAAATATGGCTACTATTTTACTTATTTTATTAAATATTTTTGCCATATGTACAACCGTCCATTAACTGTAAGGCTTTAACTATATGACCTTGTTTCGTTTTATTTTTTTATATAGTTTTTTCTTTATCTTGTAAATATTTAGAGTTTAGTTTTTATAAATTAATTAAATTTAAAAGTGAGCACCAACATACGTGCTATAAAAGAAACTCAATTAATTACAAATATACCAATAAAGTTTTCAAATATTATATATATATATATATAACTAATCCAAATCTACTATTGAAAATATTAAAATAACTTTTAAATGTCTTTGGTGATAAGTATTATTTTGATAATTGTCTAATAAATTGCATATGATATATGTTTGCTAGATTATATCAGATCCCATAGGTTTGTTTTATCTAAAGAAATATGGGAGATTGTGGGAGTTAACTGGATCGGGGTGTAGTTCTTATTTCTATTATTTTTTCTTATTTCTTATTTCCAGTTTAAGCAAAAAAAATTAATGACAGTAAAATTGAATCTTGTACTCTTGTCATGGGTAACTTTTGTCCTCGTAGAAAAATTGATGACAAGACGACGAGACGCTTTTCTTTTTAGTGGTGGTCATACGATATAAAAATATGAGTAAACTATAGACTATATGATGTAACTACATCTGAGTGGAATCATTAAGATCCAGATAAAAATAATAAAAAAAAATAAAAATATTAGATACTCGATGTAAATGAAATGATTGAATCAGATGTTTAATATCTTATATGTCCAACCCAACTTACTTATTTTCTTCAGTCAAATTGGTATTTTTAAAGACTCGGCATATGTGTTTATGTTATTTCAATATTATTAATTTTTTTTGAAATAATGTTATTTCATATTATTATACTTTAATAATAAATTAATTTATTATTTTTTAAAAAAGTAAATTACCATCTTGACGTTGCTTGAAGAAAAATGAAAAACCAAGAAGTTTTATCCATAAACAAACCAATGAGCTTCCAAAACTTTCTACCGCGCCAAAATGGCTTCCTCTTCATCTTCTTCCCTCCTCTCTCCGTCTCCGTTCCTCTCCCGGAACCATGGCTTCTTCTTCTCTCATCCTTCCGGCCGACGTATATCAATCTGCAAATCGGAGTACAGCTCCAGTCTTCCAGCAGTTCGTTCGCGCCAGATATCCAACATTCCGAGGAATGGCGACGTGAATTCCTATTCTGCATCCATAAAGGCCGAATTATTTCAGCAGAGGGAGCCCATGGTTCCTCCTTATAACGTTTTGATCACCGGCTCTACCAAAGGTCTGGTGTTCTTCGATCTCTTCCGCTTCTTTGATATTTCGTAATGTATTGCTTTCCTTTTGATTCTAGACTATCACTTTCCTGCTGGTTTCTCGTTTGTACTTTGCGTGGAATCACTTGATTTCGCTATTTCTCTAATGGCTTCTGGTATCTGATTTCGTTCTGTGGGTAAGAGCTGCGGAATTGTACTCGCTTAACTGCATTTTAGCTTTTTAACGAAAAAATTGGTGGTAGAATGTGTACTTGTTTGTCTGATTGACTCAAATCTGCGTAGGAATTGAATTTGAGAAACTTCCTGGCTGACTATTTACTCCTACTTTTACTAAGAATCGCAGAACATGTTTAGACATTGATTTCACATGTACAGTAGGAAATTGGATTAGTGAACTTCAGTGTTCCTTTAAGATTCACGAGCTTATATGACTGAAGTCAAATTTATGTTTGAATAGATCGTTGAAAGTTTTCTTAGTTAGGATTGAGCAGCGAGACGGATAAGTCATGTGGTTGGAACCTAATCAATTCAAGTTTGAGCCCTTAAATAGAGTATTTAGATATAATTTGAATTGTCAATTCATAAACCTCACAAATTCGGTTGCATCTTCGAACGCAAATCGTCGCCCATCGGAATGGCCTGAATCAAAGAGATGAATGGAATTCCCCCGATTTTCCTCTGTGCCAAACACAAATTCATTACTCCTGAGCTCCCCGATGTGTAAACTAATTCGTTGATTATCGCCTGCATCGCGGACACCGACGCCGAAAAATTCATAAACCTCACAAGTTAGGCCTTTGGACATATGATGTTTTGAACTGTATTGCTAGGAGGATCAAACAACAATCTTTTTTTCATAGGATATCCATCCGACTCCATGGAAAATGTTTATTATATTTGCACATAATAACCTCAATTCTCTTGATTGTGTAATTTTAGTCATATTCTAATCTACCTACACAGGTCCTTGGGATCGGTGGAGTTTTTCTATGAATGCGTATACAGAATTTGCCGATTCTATCTTATTTGATGCTTTGGTGCTTTTAACTTCCTTATTTCCATTCTTATGGTGTTTTCTACTCATATTTGCAATTTATCTAGGAATAGGATATGCATTGGCTAAACAGTTTCTGAAAGCAGGTGACAATGTTGTAATCTGTTCACGATCAGGTAAAATTTGCACTATGATCATTATGAAACTTTCTTCTTGTCTTTTTTTTTCTCCGCCCGTTCATGCACATTCGTACAGGACTGTGAATGAATCTGTAAAGCACAGTAGAACATTAACTAAAGAATTACCTTTTCTAATACTCTCTCTCACGCACATACACAATAATATAATCATGGCATGTCGAGGTCATTTTCAGTCTTGTCTAGAGTAGGAATTTCCTGAGTTAAATCAATGGAGTTTGACTGCAGATTATTTTGTAGAGTGAAGTGGGTATGGGGTTGTATTTGTAATTTACTTCAGCCATCTTATCAGCTATATGATATTAGACCATATTTGGAGAAGCTCGAGTCTATGGATTCACTATTTGACATCTTTATGAGTTTCTTTCTCCTGAAGAATTTCAGAACTTTCCTTTATTTTTGTATTTGCAAGATACGGGTTCTTATGCGTTTGTAATTTTTTTTATCTTATAGACTCAATAGTCTTATGGGTGGTGCACATTCTCTTTTTCTAACTAATATATTTCTGTTGCCATAAAAAAATGTGTTGATCGATTAGGTATGGATTCTGGTCATTCTCGAGATCTTTTGCACCAAAAAGAAAAAAAAATGTTGAATTTCTTTTCTTCTTTCCGGTGGGAAAGTCTAGGCTTCTCAAATTGCTTGGGATATTGTAATTTTCTTTCTTAATATCAATATTATTTTCTGTTAATTTATATTTTGATTTATGGTTCCTATCGGCATCCTTAGTAGGGTGTGACTTGCACTTGTTAAAGCAGTTTAAGTTTACAATAACCTTAATATACTGAAGCAGTTCAAGTTTCGTCTGTTAATGTAAATCACTAAATTTACAATAACACCACTAAAGCACTTTTGTTTATATTTGCTGAACAAATCTTTTAACAGCTGAGAGGGTAGAATCTTCTGTTCAAAGCCTGAGAGAAGAATTTGGGGAGCAGCATGTGTGGGTACCTCCTGCTAGACTTCTTCATTTTGATTTTTCTTTTCAGAAGTTTATTTACCAATTTTCTGTCGTTTCATTGTTCTCCATGTACTATTTACAATGGGAACAGTTGCTGATACTTCAAGCTCATTGCCCTAAATCTAATTCTCTTCTACAGGGTACTAAATGTGACGTACGAGAAGGAGAGGATGTAAAGAATTTAGTCACATTTGTGCAGAAAAATCTTAAATACATTGACATATGGGTATTTACGTCAAATTCTTCTTTCTCTTCTCCTTCACCTTCTACATGAGGACTGATGAGTATATCTTGATTTCTAGTAACTCGAATAGTTGTCTATTTGGCATCAAAGAGCCTATACGATGTTGAATATAGTAGATTGGTGGCCTCTAAGGTTCGCACTTGAACTAGTAACCTCAAGACCTCAAAAGTTTCAAATTGTCTCTTTTACATTACTGATCAACTCATGGTGGTTAAGATGTAGTTTAACATATCAATTTGATATAAATCTTCAGAAGACTTTTATAGTAGAACATGATATCTGTCCAAGAAATGATCCACATATTACAAGATATATATTCACGTATATCCCTTTCATACTTGAGTAATTAAGTAAACAGTTGGGAACTTGGGAAAGTGATACCAATTATGAAATATTAGCTGTTTAAATGGAAAAAGATTATCAGGTGTATTGATTCTACTGAGATGTCCAACTAATAGAGTGCCTAGACCCAGTTTGTCTTTTTGTCAGATGGTGTGAATAGTTGTATCATGTCATTGAGGTTCTTCATACTATTCTAACACGTATCATATCAGAGAAGTGTTGGCCTAAGATAATTCTTAGATTTTTTGGAACAACATTTTCATAGTTTACTTATTCAACATGCCACTGTCCCCACCCATAGCATGGGAAACTGGGCTTAAAAGAACAAAAATGTTCTATTGTCCACTATTTCAATTGTTGATCAGTTTTAAAGGGAGGCGAATCCGTTGCCTATAAGAGGGATGACGAGTCTCTTAAAAAGTTGATTTATGTCTCATAATTAGCTTGGTGGAATTTTGTTTGTTTCCATTGCTCTTTTAACTTATTTCAAGAACAATGCAGATCAATAATGCAGGATCAAATGCTTATAGCTTTAAGCCTTTGGTTGAGGCTTCAGATGAGGATCTCATGTGAGCTTCCTCCTCCTGATCTTCAAACCTCAATGACATGCAATAGAAATGCTTTTGGTTTATTTCTTGGACACTCTCTATTGCAGTGAAGTTGTCACTACAAATGCTCTTGGTTTGATGATATGTTGCCGAGAGGTATATACTATTTCAATCAGGAACTTCAGGAACTCTTTCATATTTTAGGCTTGTAAATCATGCATAGTTCCTGACTTCTGGTTAGGCAATAAAGATGATGTCAAACCAACCTCGAGGGGGTCATATTTTCAACATTGATGGGGCTGGTTCTGATGGACGACCCACCCCTAGGTGCTGTTCTTTCTCTCTCTTAAGCTGAGTTCGTTTTGATGTTCTCTATCTGATATACAATTGTTTCAAGAAGAATGCAAAAGACATGGGAAAAGTTCTAGAAATCTGTCGTTCATTTGGATTACATGCACATTGTGCTCAATCATATATGATGCAACCGCTTTAGGATATGCAGCAGTGGAACAGCATATGCTAATTCTAATTGCATGGATCATTTTATTGCCATTACTTGAATAGCGGATGGTGCAAATAATTTTATAGTGAAACGTGTGAAGGTTTATACCTCTTAAGCATTTCTCATGAATCTAAGTTATGTTTTCAAGGAGTCTATTCAAGTGAGGTAAGGTTAATTATATGCATTTATTCTGTTTATGTAATAGCCACTTACTCTTGTCACTGGAAAAAAGAGAAATATTGTTTGTAATTCTCTTTGTATTTCCTCAGGTTTGCTGCCTATGGGGCAACCAAAAGAAGTGTTGTTCATTTAACGAAGTCATTACAGGTACGAAGTCATTTATTTAATTCTGTCTTAAATTAAATCATCATTTAGTTTCTGTTATTAATCATAAACTGGCTACCCGACACTACGGTACAAAAATAACGACACTGCAGTAATAATAAACTAGCTACTTGAACTTATTTCTCTCTCTCTCTCTCTCTCTCTCTCTCTCAAATAAATTAGGTGTCAATAGGGATTGTACTTAGCATCGATGTATTCTGCAGCATACTGAATCAGCTCTGTTTGATTCAAATGTAGTAGACATACCGAGGATGATCAATTTTGACCACGTATAAGATTGGGAAAAAAATCTATTAGCATTTGGAGTGCTTATCTGTGATTGTCTCAGTCATATCGATCCCTGGATTGTATTAGTGGGTGAGTGATCATTTCTAGAACTAAACACCACCATAGCCCCACAGTGAAAAAAGTCCGAGGAAAGTCCTTGCCGGCTGCCATCAAGACTCAAGAGTACTAAGGTTTGACTCAGCAATAAAAAATAACTAAAAAGTGCTGGTCATTGGTTCATTAGTCGTTAAAAATAACAAAGAAATCTAATTAACTTGTTCCTCCTCATTCTTACTGTCTCTTCTATTTTTTCTCGTCGTCAATGTTCTCAATTTGAAATCACTTGTACACTTCTTTCGCTTTTTTTTTTCTTTCAATATGATACAAAAATTTTCATTAACGAATAAAAACAAGTAGGCAAGTTCAGAGATACAAATTTTTGAGGAAGTGAAAATATAACAAAGCAAAAAAAGCAAAACGGGAAACAAATAAAAGAACAACAATTAGGGGGGAAAGATAAAAACATCCCAGGAGTCGCAAATAGTGCCGGAAGAACAGTCCTTAAATGGATATGAAATACACCATCACTGAGAAGCTTTAAATTTGGCTACATCAAAACATTCCATCCCATCCTTGCACTTATCATGAAATATCCAATGATTCCTCTTTACACTTCTTTTGCTTTTAGTATTGACGTTTCCATTATTTTTCTTAAATTAATTGCAGGCGGAATTGCGGATGCAGGATGTGAAAAATGTTGTAGTGCACAATCTTTCGGTGTGTTACAACACAATTTTATGCTTTCAACTTGAGTATAAAATTTTCTATCTGAGCCCCTTTGTCAAAACTGCTTGAGAATTTTATTTTTCAGATGTTGATGAGCTGTGATATTTTTGAACCTTGCATAGTTTACATCAATTAGACACTTGACATTGTAATGGAGATATTCATGGATATAGACATATAGTATATTGAAATTGTTAAAATGTTCTACGTTGTAAGGTCCATGTCGTAAGGTTCGTAACACCATGCAATACTTATCTTCCTTTCTTTACCTGAATATGTCATTTCTGTTATTTGGTCTTGCAGCCTGGGATGGTTACAACTGATCTTCTCATGTCTGGTGCTAATACAAAGCAGGTCAATGATGCATTATAGATTCTTTGACAGTATATTTTCTTAATAAATTCACGAATATGAAAAACTAAAACTCTTGGCTTCTGCAGGCGAAATTTTTCATCAATGTCTTGGCAGAACCACCTGAAGTGGTAAATCTCATATTGTCCAAATTGATCTTTTCTTAGTATGCAGTTGACAGTGCCTTTGGTATTCTATGAGTCTCACCTTGATCTGATTGATAAACATATCGTGTGGTTATAATAGACCTAAGAAAAATTCCTCTTTCGATCAAATTCATTTACGATTGTGAGTTTCAGTAAAAATATTTGCTCATTCGTTTGAGTACGAGCACAGTCTAAAACAAGAGGCACTGAAAAGTTAATGTGAAACGTATACTTCTATGCTTTAATCAGTTGATGTGCTAAATAAACTTTCATCAAAATGTTAGCACTCTTCATGGACGTTGCCAACATCATAAATGCTATAATTCTTCGCATCTGCATTTTTCTTCACCTGGCGGTTGATATTTGCGTTTACAGGTCGCAGAATACCTTGTTCCAAACATAAGATCTATCCCAACCAATGGTTCAACAAGGCCCACGTACATTCGTTTCCTCACTGGACTGAAAGCTTATTCCCAGATATTTTCAGTTAATAAATGATTAATGACTGCTCAATTAAGTTGAAATGTCTTTTTTTCCTCCCATTTTCCCTAATTCTTTCCATCAATTAATTGTTTCATGTTTCCCAAATTGTTCAGAGACTTGCCTTTGGTGCAAGAAGAAACAAATATCTTCTAGAAGATTGATAACAACTTTGAAGTACAATCTCCGATCCTGTAAGTTCTGTGTAAAGTTTTCACAATTTGTTATTCTTCACCCAGGGGAATGGTTTATTCACATTTTATATACTGGTTATTGTTGAAGCATGTTGGACCAGTTGGACTGTTCCTAAAAGACGACCCCAGGAAATGATGCCCTGTCCTCTTCGATCTTTTTTCCCTTTTGAAAAACTGTCTTTTATTTGATTTACTCATTAAATGGTTAATTGTAATTTATTATTGATATCTACTTCGAATTGTAGCATTATTATTTTTTACCAGAACCAGCTTTTGTTCCAGAACATTTGCCTTTTCACAAAGGCATAGATGGTTATTTGGCCAACATGGTCGCTCCTAAAAGGTCCTCGTTCTAATCTCCACCTACGGTTTTTTATTTGTGATGTAACGTTGTAAAATAATTGAGATTTAAGCCTTACACGAATTCTTTAGAGCAATTATCTTTGCCAATTCAACACTTTTATAATAATTAGCTTCTATGTATACTTTTTTCAGTATAAGATTAAACTTTCGACCTCAAGGAAGGTAATTAGTGTTTTTTTTACTGTATGCTCGGGATTGACTAGCTTCTATCTATGATATGATGATTAAAATTAACCCCACCAATGTGTAATGTGTAATAGGTAAGATCTTCGTTTATTATTTTACTGCCCAGGACATTTTCCGTTCAGAGAAACACATTTCAAATTTATCAATTCATGCTTATTATAGTATTTTTAGTTTTACCCACTTAGTATAGCAAGTGTACTTACCCTCTACCTTGGGTTTACCACATGGGAAGTCAATCTCACAATTTTTTGATCGGAGGTAGGTGCCTATGTGAGGTTTACAACACGTGGGATTAGAATTCAATCTCACAACTTTTTGATTGGAAGTAAGTGCCTAGACCAAATTTAGTTATCTGTTATGCTCAGATTGGATTGTGGGTTCAAATATTCAATTTTACATTTTTATGTAAAAATTTTGTCAATTGTCTTGTCACAATGGAGTTCATTGATGCTTTCGAGGTTTGATGGTTGTAGGTAGAGATTGTCTCTGCATATTGATTTTCCATGAAAATCAAACCTCGAAAGCTACTTGCAGGTATGGCCTACCGAATTTGGGGTATGTTTCTGGTTGGAGGACTGGAATGAGAATTAGAAATTTAAAAAGAAGAAAAAAATCACTTCCTAAAAAAAAAACAAAAAAAATCACATTATATACTTGCAAATGAGATTTTCTTTTTCCTTTTTCTCTTTACTATATTCAATTATAAGTTAGGAATTTGATGAATTAAAAACTTCGAAATTTTCACTATACTAATACAAATTGAAAGCGCAAACACACGACACCTAAATTTTCGTAATTAGTTTATCTTTTTTGGCCAAGAAAGAAAATCCCATCTCCCGTGGGAGTCTCACATGAGAAAAAATTTAATCCTTTTCGCACATTTCGACTTGAAAAAGAGTGGATTGATATAAAAGACAAAAAGAAGAAAAGAAAAAAAAAAATACCTAAGACAGTAAAACATGAAATCTCCACTACTTTTAAATCTCTACACTTGAAAATAAATTATGTATGAAGCTCTTTAAGCTTTTAACGAAACAGTAGCACTATGGTGAGCAAAAAAAAAGAAGCCCAATAATTTTCTCAATCATTTAACTAAATTCCAAACGGTGCTCCAATAAAGATTCACCCGTGACTAAAGACTTGGGCCCAAATCTGACTCTGCTAAATGCCGAAAATAACAGATGAAATCAGAGGCTTCTGTTATATCGTATTCCAAAATGTTTCTGCTGACGCCAAAAGTGCTTTATACAATAAAAGCCCTTTTTGAATGTTTGATTTGTCAGGCTAAAATGGCTATTTTTGCTCAGCTTCTGTGCTCCCCGTGAACCATATGCATTTGTTTTTAGGAACAAGTCATACCATCATAAAGTCTTCAACAGTGACACCATCTTTTTATATGTACATACACACACATAATCAAAATAAGATTTAGAGTCTTGGACCTTATTTTATCCCTTGACATAAAATCATATGGCATGTTGCATAGTTATTGTTACGTATTTAGTGAAGTAATCGTTCAAGTAGATTGTTAAAGTTTGATCATTATGGCTTTTACATATTTTGGTGGAATAATAATTGTTTATTTGTTTCAAAATACAGCTAGCATATATTAATTACACTATCAAGTACAATTAAGTGAAATAGGATACCGTTCCACTTTGGGACATAAACCTGTCTCCTGACAATTAGCAAATTAAATAATTTTATATTTTTTTCATTGATAAACAGTGTGGCTTGGCTTCTGAATTATATAGCTATACCACACCTGATTATGGCTTAAATCTATATTTGCTTATGTTAATACTTTACTGTATTTTTTTTATTATGTCATCTCTCTCTAGAAATGTATTGATTGTCATCATAATTGTGGAGACTGTTGCTGTAATCACCTATGGTAATTATGTTGTTTTATCAAAGAAGTTTCTTCATTTTATTTCAGATTTCATAGATTTTGTCGGAATATAGATATAATTTTATTTTTGCCACTAAACTGGACTTTCCATATATCAACATTGTAGGTCAAGTTTCAATTACTGTAAGATAAATAAATCCATCTATAAAGTCGTTTTTTTTTCATGGTGAAAATGGAGAGGAAGCTATTGAAAATGTGTATGTAAGCTTCATACCATTTTGATATTAGAGAATTGAAATGCTCGTATTCTACGTCTACTACTGGGCAT